ACACACACACACACACACACACACACACACACACACACACACACACACACACACACACACACACACACACAAACACACCTCCCCCCTCTCGTCATCCCTGCAGGTCCTGACCACCCTCTCCCCCTAGCTCCCCACGGACCCTCGCCCGCTCGCTGCCCCCAATTCTCTGTCGACTACATGGCATTGCTTCCACAGCAGCCGTCCACGAATACCGGCAATGGCAACATCATGAAATTCACAACCGAAAAAAGACAGTCAATTAGGATGGCAAAGAACCAACTTTGATCGACACAGCACCGAACGGCCTACATGGGCGACCGACCATGGATGGCGGCAGCGATCTCCAACAGCGCGTGGCTCATCATCCTCTGCGTCTCATGGGACGCCTCATAGTGCGCTTTTTTGACAGCAACTTCCTGCTCCAATATGTCGCATTGCCTCGTGAAGATGCTGCATTGCCGCTTGCTAAACGATTTGATCGTCGACGACATCAGTGCGCCATGGCGGTCCATGAAATCAGCGAAGGACTCTTATGCCTGCTGACGCGCGTTCTTCCGCTTTCCGCCTCCCACCCCGCTGCCTGCGTTGTTGTCGGACTCCCTCGCAGAAGAACGTTCTTCAGGGCAGCCTTCACCTACCGCCTCACTACAAACAGACTCCCCGCCACCCGCTCCTCGCCTGGGCAGCTGCACCCCCTCCAAACTCCCGATGTCGGCAACGTTGGGAGGGAAAATCGTGTGGTTTCCCATCATGCCTGCGTGGATCTCGTTATACAACGCCCTGTCCATCCGAAACTTGAAGTTGTGCTCCTTCCTCTCTTCGTTCGTCAGCCTGAAGAAATCTGCCTGGCCGATGGCATTCTAAAACCTCTGAATTTTCTTGTAGTTTTGGAACAGATTGTCCCACTTCTTCATGCAGTCGTCGGCGTCCTTTGGCCTCCCTGCATTCGCCATCCACTTCGACATGTCGTCCCACTTCCACTCTTTCGTCTTCATCTGCCCGTAATTGTGAGTCAGGCTGGCAAGGTGCATATCTTGCTCCTGCTTGCATCGCACCAGGAGCATTTGGTCTTCTGCAGACCAGTACGTCGGAGACTTCCCGCCGTCGTCGCTCATGCCACCTCTGCTTCCACGGGCAACGGATCGACCACGGACACCACCTCTGTCGCGTCCTTTCCCCCTCCCACCCGTCTACCCCAAAGGCCGAATAGGAACGTCGTCGTCGTCGTCCCCCGCTTCCACGTCCTCCCTCATCCCTTCGTCTGCATCATCACCGAATCCACCGTCGTCTTCGCCGCCATCGTTGTGCGCCCGCATGTTGGACACTCCACGTGTTATGTTCTCCACAGTGGGTCGTGGATGTATCGGCGCTCTGCACGTTCCCTCATCCCTCACTTCGGATTCGATCGGCGTTGTGCACGCAGGCATCGGCGAACGTGCACCGCCCATGCGCAGGGACCCTGCTGCGACCGCAGTGCATGCGGGCCAGGTCTGTGTCAATCGCTCGGCGGACGGAGCAGTCGATCCATGTTGCCGTCCCGTTGGCGATGGCCCGACCGTGCCAAGCACGGGTGCAGCGCGACGAAGTGTGGACTGCTCCGTATGCAGACTTCCACCATGTTCAAGGCCACATGCCGAACGATCTCCATCAATGATGAACGTACGGCTCGCCTCCCTGCCGCCGCCAGAACACAACCCGAACCTCAGATCAACTCCTCCGCCGTCGTCGTCCCGCAAGCCTTGATGCAGCAGTGACGTGAACTCGCCCCCTTCGTCGGCAACCGACCCGCCTGCTCGCACCGTCTGCGACCACAACTGAGTCGAGCCGCTGGCGAGAGGCAACGTTGAACGTTCTTCCTTCTCCGGCTCCTCGTCCGGCGGGGGCAGTGGCGTCTCCCACGACTTCAGATGGGTGTACATGGACGGGTCGTACCGCCTTGGAGGCTCCGCCGCCGAAGTTCGAACTCCTCCCTGACCTGCAGCAGTTGCCGCTCGTGCCTGCATGCCCGCCATTGGACGTTCCCCTGCCGCCCGTCTCGTCGAAGCCCTCCTCTTGCGTTGTTGTTTCCACGGCTACCACGACAAACACACGTGGAGGAAGACGACAATCAGGAAGACGACGACAACAAGTACCAGCAGAGGCAATCTCCTCTGCACGTCAGCCATGAAATTCACCTCTGCAGCCGCCCTTGCACGTGGCCACTGCAGATGTGTGTTCCGACATGCCTGGGACAGGGCCGCTCGACCTTCATATGCCAACAACCAGCACAGAAGACGACAAAGGTGCCTGCCTTCCTTTTGAAAATCGACCGTCGGCGTCCCACTCCGCATCTCGCAAGCCAGCCAACTGTCCACTACGGGCGCCCACCCGCCCATGCTCGGCCCTCCGCGCTCCACCCTGTCGGCCAACGGCTACCGTTCCCGGCCGTTGCCGCCGTCGACCCGCACAAAACCTCCGATGTCCGACCACGGACCCGACGGACCGCTCCTGGACCAGCAACCCCGTGTGGACGCTGCCATGCACGCGATGCAACGAGTGAGTGAAACGCGGGAATCCTAATTTTTTCAGTAGGTCGGGGGCTACTGAAAAATTTAGGACGATTTTGCCTGGGGAATCCTAAATCTTTTAGGACTCGGCGTTAGTCACATTTTCGATCTCCGATTTCGTTTTAGGACTGAGTGCAAAGAAGATGTAATCCTAAAAACTGGCACGTTTAGGAGGATGTAATCCTAAAAACTGGCACGTTTAGGAGTGTCTAACGAGACCCTAAGTGTCTGAATCTGGGCGTGTTTGTGGAGAGGTGCAAAAAACTGTAATTGATCTACTTCTCTGCACCTCTTCCTGGAACACTTCCTGATTCAGACACTTATTATTATTATTATAATAATTATTATTATTATTAATTCTTTTTTTTGGGAGACACTTGTTACAATCCTCTTTGCAAGTGGAATATGGCCCTCGGCCTGCGGGCCTAGCTCAGTTGGTAAGGCACAGAAGTTGCATTCAGGAGGTCGTGGGTTCAATCCCCATTGGCCTCACGATGTGCCTGGGCAAGCTTGGTGTTCTACCAGCTAGAGATAACCCGTCGGCCCCCCAAGCCAGCATTGGCAGGACCTTGGCTGATGTTGTTGGCTGCTATGCAGCGACAATACTGGCCATTAGACACCGCCATGTGGGGTTGGGGGGGGGTAGGGGGAGGTACAGTGACTGGCCATTGCTCGGCGCTAGCACCGTCGATTTCCCCCATCGGCAATGCCTGCCCACCCCTCGTCACCGTGATGAGGGACTGGTACGGCCTTGCCCTCCCACCACAGCTGTGGTGCCAACCTACCCTGTGGGCTGGGGAGGGATCCGGGTTGGTTGGTGTTCCCCTATACTATATATAGAATAGTGAGAGGATGAGATAGATGCGTACTATCAAGAAAAATGAGATAGATGAGAGAAGAATATAGCTTACCTTTTTTTTTTTTCAAAAATAAATTCGAATTATT